CCTGAGGAGCTGGAGCAGAGGCTGCACACAGAGTTCAGGAGAATAAAATGGGTATTTATTGTGAGGCCTACAAAAGCCACACCCCAGCAATATCAGTGCCACAAAAAGGGGGGAAATGATGCATTTAGTTTTAAGTTTTCCTGTTCTCCTTGGATGTGCTTTTCTGATGTGCTAGGGTGATTGTGATAATTGATAAAAGATTGGTGTTAATCACAAAAGCATTGGGGTTTGTATAAACCAGAATACTAAGCTCTGAAGTGAAGCATGGACATTAATAAAAGAAATTATATGATTAAATAATTCTGTTTAAAATCACCTTGTTATGTTATATTATGTTGTATTATGGTACATTATATTATGTTATGTTTTTCAAATAAGTTGTATCAGCTACCAGCTTGCAAAATCAGAACTTCCCAATAGCCCTTCCTGCCTTTGTCTGATCAATACTGCCTATCCCAAAAACCAGACTCCCAGAACTTCTCTGGTGGTCATCTACAAGGTTGTTTATTCAACCACCACTGCTTATGACAACAAAAAACCAAAAATTATTAATTACAAGAAATCACAGTCTGCAAACCAAGGTTGGGTGGAGCCTGGAGTGGGCAGTGACCCCTCACGTTCCCCAGCACTGCTTGCTCTTTCTATATCAAATAAAGCAATCTAAATTTTGCTGAATATCGAGACTTTTGTCTCTCATTTATAACAGTGATGAAGACAAACCAGTTCCTATTCTAGTTAAGAACTCAAGGACAGTTTCTCCACACTTCAGGCCCTAAGCACAAACTCCGTAGAAAGGTGGAGGGTGGGTTCATGCAAATTAACCAGAACCTATAAAAATGTGAGATTTTGTGACCAACCCCCTCCTTTCCTTCCATCTTGGAGCCATCCAGGCAGGGGCCAGGACTGTGGCACTGATATTGCTGGGCTGTGGCTTTTCTAGGCCTCACAATAAATGCACATTTTATTCTCCTGAACTCTGTGTCTGTTCCAGCTCCTCAAGGCATCAGAGCCACCCCTGCCATGGCAGGGACACCTCCCACTGTCCCAGCGTCCAAGCTGGCCTTGGGCACTGCCAGGATCCAGGACAATCCACAAACTCTCTGGGCACCCTGTGCCAGGGGCTGGGAGTCAAACATTTCTCAGGATCCAATGGGATCCGTTGATTCTGCTGCAAGCCCACTGACCTGGAGGATGAATTGTTCCTTTCTCATGTTTAAATTACCAAAAGGAATGGTGGCTCTCATTATAATTCCCCTTTGATCAATCAGATTTTGATGGATACATGCCTGTGCTCTGGCATGTGAATAGTCTAAAAGAGACACTAAATATTAGCACAAAGTTATGGATGTAACAAGAATTACCAAGGCCAAGTCCATAAAAACAGGTTTTGGGGTCACTTTAGGGAAAAAAAACCCCCACATTTTCACCCTAAAATAATCACTATAAATGCAATGTCTTTGTTAATGTAGAAGGAAAATCTGCTGACAACATGCATTGGTTAGCATGACACAGGGCTTAGATTGCATGTTGTAAACATGCAATAGATGCACATTATATATATGCAATAGATATGCATTTCCCAAAGTGCAAATAAAACAAAAAAAA